TCTTTAATTTTGATGATGATTATTTTTGGTGAAAAGTGATATTTTTGAATTCTTGTTGAAAACAGCAAGTCCGGTTGCTTTGATACTATATATATTGTTCATTTTCTAATGATATCTTCAGTTCTTAATTTAAATGTGCATTGCTAAAGGCGAAGCTATCTCAGCCGACTGCCTGCTTGTATGATTCTAGTATATCTCTCTATCTCTATTATATCTACCATAACTGCTAGAGCAAGTTAAAATAGAAGCTACATTAAATGCATGCATGTACATTGCCCAGCCATGTAGTAGAATGACTGTTGAGTTGAATGATAGAGTCAAGCTATATCCACAACTGTGCACTGTATATTTAGTCATTGCAGCTTCTATCCCCACTGGCCTCATTCTGAGTTTTGAACAAGCAAAAGTGGTGAGAGCGCTATCCGTATGAAATGAGTCTATTGATTACAGTATTCTCTATTCTGTTTTCATAGAACCTGTCAGCAAATCACAGAGACAGCTTTTCTGTGAGAATGAATCTTCAAAACATAACGAGAAAGAAGACGAACTCTCCGATGAAGATATATTCTCTTCACTTGTAAATTGGCCAAAGAGTGTAGCAGAGTGCATTGAACCAGAGAGAACACCCAAAAACCAGTCATTGAATTTCAGAACTGAGATACCATTCAGAAAAAAAGTTCTCATGTCACAAACTTCAGACATTGACAATAACACACAAAACCACATTGTAGAAAAGTTGGAAATAGAGAAGTGTGTAGAACTGTCAAAAACTAAATCTACTTTAGATGAAATTGTTATTGATGACACAGAGTCAGTGTGTTCTGAATTTGAACCTGATATGCAAGATCTCCAAGAGAGTGAAGGGACCGGTAACAGTAACTCACCTGAGGACCATCACAATGTTGCTGTTGAAATATCACCATCAAATAGTAGTATTCATTCAAGTCAATCTAAAAAGGAGTTAAAATGCCAAAAAAGTATAACTTCTTTCTTCCAATCTGTCAGTGGTGATACCATAAAGCGAAAACCAACAGCTACTAATTCCACTACAATTAATGCTTTCACAAAACTTTTTAGAAGCAAGGGTAAAAGTACAATACAAAACAATAGTTGGAAAGGAAAAGCGAAGGCAGACACAGACAACATTTCTATGCAAGGACCAAGAAGGAATTGTCCCTTTTACAAGAAGATTCCAGGTATGCAATCTTGTCACTGGGCCTCTGGCTTGGGATAAAATAAATTTAACCACAGTGGCAAATACTACATTGTTTTTCTTAGCAACTTGGCAACTTGTTGTGAATAGTCACTTCACCAACAGGGAAGAAATAGTATTGTAATGCATCATAAAACTGTATATTAAACAATATGTTTTCCTAATGTATGATGTAATTTTCAGTATGTTTTGATATAATTTAATTTAATGTGTTAACGTCATAACTACTGTATCATCAGAGTACACTACTACTGTATGGACTGAAAACCTGCGGTTGTCTTGATGAAAAGTTAACAGACATGTACTGTACACATATTTTAATCACCTTCTTCTTTTATCTAGGCACTCCATTCACAGTTGATGCATTCCGGTATGGTAGTATACCTGACTGTAAGGTGTATTTCCTTACGCACTTTCATTATGATCATTACGGTGGATTAACAAGACAGTTCAAACACCCAATATACTGTAGTAAGGTAAGATTTCAGTTGATTTGATGTTGACATCAGCATGTTCACCAATCCCTGCACTGCATGCTTTGTGGATTTCCTGACACTGAAGGTAGTAATTTTTATTTATTTATTAACACATAACATCCCCCCGGAGGGGATGAAAAGGGTTACAAATCAGATATTAGTAAAAGAAAAATAACTACATAAAAAGTAAGGGAACAAAAAAGCATTAAAAAAAAGATAAATTTGTATACAAGGAATGTGTTACTGGCTTAGTTTATGTAGGTGCTGCTGTCTTTAATTAAAACAGTTTTTTAAATATTACGTTAAAGGAATTGACATTTTCTCGTTACTTAGTAATGATATGAATTTATTTTCATTACTAAATTTGTCAAAATTTGGTATACATTTATTAGCTACAATGTAAAGTTTTAATCTTATTTCGTTGTAATGAGGACAATTTATGACAAAATGTTGTTCATCTTCAACATGGTCAGTGTCTCACATATTGCAGACTCTGTCTTAAAAATCCAATCCTATATGCCGGCCTGTTTCAATTTTCAGACAG